CAGTGGACATGTGTCCCTGCAGAGGGTTGTCTCCTGGACAGTGGGCATGTGTCCCTGCAGAGAGTTGTCTCCTGGACAGTGGACATGTGTCCCTGCAGAGGGTTGTCTCCTGGACAGTGGGCATGTGTCCCTGCAGAGAGTTGTCTCCTGGACAGTGGACATGTGTCCCTGCAGAGAGTTGTCTCCTGGACATGTGTCCCTGCAGAGAGTTGTCTCCTGGACAGTGGACATGTCTCTGCATCCATTGCACACGTTGGGTTTTAGTCCGAGCTGAGGCTTGTCAACGGTTTCGCTGACATTCAGTGAAGAAGAAAACACTGACGGTGTTTGTTTCCGTTTCCCAGGGAGAAGCTGGAGAGCCCGGTCAGAAAGGAAGTAAGGGGGACAAGGGAGAGCAGGTGGGTTCTACAGACCACCTCACAGTCTGCATCGTCACAGAAATAAGAAGAAACTCTTTCATTTGGTTTTATTGAATAATAAAAAAGTGATTTAGACTTTCTGACTCTTCTGTTGGTTTTTAACATGTTTGTTTGTTTGTTTGTTTGTTTGTTTGTTTGTTTGTTTGTTTGTTTGTTTAGGGTCCTCCTGGACCAGCTGGTCTCCAAGGTCCCATAGGTGCCCCAGGTCCTGCTGTAAGTACAACTGATCCAGGTGTAATGAGGTGTAAAAAGGCAGGATCAGGTCTTCAGGGGGGGTTAAGGGCGGGGCGGAGTGGTTAGGGGAGTCGTCCTGGAACCGGAAGGTCGCTAGTTCGATCCCCCGTCCAGCCATCTCAGTCGTTGTGTCCTTGGGCAAGACACTTCACCCACCTTGCCTACTGATGGTGGACAGAGGGTCTGTTGGCGCCAGTGCATGGCAGCCCCCCCTCTGTCAGTGTGCCCCAGGGCAGCTGTGGCTACAGTGTAGCTTACCACCATCAGTGTGTGAATGGGTGAATGTCTGTTAGTGTAAAGAGCTTTGGGGTCCGGAGGGACTTGATAAAGAGCTCTGTAAGTTCAGTACCATTTACCATTTACCATTAAGACATAATGGACCCCTCTATACAAAGAACTGGTCCACTGTAGTTTTGTGTCCATGATGCCAGGACCAACAAGTCCTGGTCCAGGACCAACAAGTCCTGGTCCTGGACTTCCTGCTGTTCTCAGTTAGCCGGGGCTAAATATGCTTTTCAACAAATCTGTTGCTATGATTGTGTCCACACAGCTTTGTTTTATATCTTTATTTTTACTTTATTCAATAAACATGATGAGTAAAGTTGTTAAACTCTTGGTTCTCAGGGAGCGGATGGAGAGCCCGGTCCCAGAGGTCAGCAGGGCATGTTCGGACAGAAAGGAGATGAAGGTCCCAGAGGTTTCCCTGGACCCCCAGGACCCATTGGTCTGCAGGTCTGTACCACATTTCTTCATTTAGGCTTTAAAATATCAGAACAGAGGTTCGACAACAAACGACTGATACAACTCAAATCTGTGTTTAATCTGTCGTTTAGTCACTGCAGGGAGTTTATTAARCATGTTCTGTCTTTACGTTTTTTTATAACTTCCTGTATCTCATGATTTTTTTGTTCATTTGAAACAAAACAAAATGAACATTAGAAAATAAAACTTTTCATTTTCTTCTCATTTTTCTGTATCAAAGCTGTTTTTTACTGTAAATTTTACTGGACGTGTCGACGATATTCCTTTTTGAATCTGTAACATGTTGTTTTCTGAGACGTGTTCTCTCACACTTCCTCTCTGCAACACCTCGACAAGTCGCCTGTTGGGTTTAGCTGCTGTTGCCACAGAGAGGACGAAAATTACAGCTGAAACACAAAAAASGAACTCTCTACGAGTCCTGAATCATAACGTGGAATAAAACTTTCTGTGGGGAATAATTTCCAAAAAATATGACCAAAGACAGGATTTTGTTTGTTTACATGGAGGGGGCGGGATTTTAATCTTATACTAAGCCAGCCCATTCTCACTCCCAACTCGTCACACGTTGACGCTTTTCCAAGGTTCCCGCTGCGTCAGGTTTTGACATGTCGTGTACTCCCTCGCATCAGTTATTGACGAGATGAAACGGAATCCATTGTCATAATTTCAGAAAGTATAGAAAATGCACAAAAACTAACCATCCCAAAGCCTGAAATTACCTTTATTCTCTCTAGACATCCTGTCCCTGACCCCACTACCTAAAATTAACCATCAACCCAGATCCCTAATATTAACCACTGACCCCAACTCAAGGACCCCTATATTTTGCGTCCCGACTCATCAAAACCGGACGCCGAGGGAACCCGGAAATGCCTGGTGCGTCAAAAACTGACGCGAAGGGGTTAGCCGACGTGTCAAAATAAGATGCAGAGAAAACCTTGGAAAAGTGTCAATACATGTGACGAGTTGGGAGTGAGAATGTGTTAACCAAGCTGGTCCTGCTTCAGCTTCAACTTCCAGGTTCTGGTCCAGTGTCTGCATTTATTGAGACAATAGTCTGAACTTCCATCAACAAAACAAATGAGTTATTCAGCTCCAGCTCCTGACTTCAGAGGACTCATAATAACATAACGAGTGTCTCAGCTCTGGCCCCAGCTCTGGCCCACCTCCCACTCTGCCCCGGTGGGAACAGACCCAGCAGCTGGAGGGGGCTCAGGCAGCGCTGCAGTGTAATTGGATGTGCAGGACACACTACAGTGACCTGCAGTGATTACACCTCTCACCTCTGCTCACAGACGACATCCATCTTTGATTAGCAGCTCTCTGTGCAACGCTCTGCCAGACAATAAAGAAAAAAAAATCGATGCTGCGTTTATCTGTCCGACACAGAACATTTCATGTGATTCATACCTGAGGACAAGGTTTAAGGTGATTTAAAAAGCGKATTAGGATAATGTGGAGAAGCTCGTCTACAGCAGCTTTAATGATGTTTTCTTGCATCGTGATTGAGATCTAATGACAGAGGACCTTTCCACCGATTTACTCAATTTATTTGTAATTATCTGTTTATTAGTAATCAGTTCTTTGGTCTKAGACTGTGGAAGTTTAGTGCAGAGTTTGGGGTCATTGTCTTGATGAAATTACACAGGCTGCTGCTCATCATTCCTCGCTGCTATTGTCTCTCAGCGGGATTGGATTCTATGGACTTTTAATTGGGAGTAATTCACTTCCCATCGCAGCTCCATTAATTATGTTGACTGACCCGCGCCTGCAGTCTGTTCCTCATCAAGCACATTTACCGCGCTGCATAATTAGCACCATGCTACCCGTTTAGGGATTAGAGAAGACCTTAACACTGATTCTGTTTCCCAGCAGCGATGCAGGCGTCACCCAAAGACAACACCTGAGAATAACTCTCTTTACAAATGACATCATGAAGCTCAGAGAAGACGATGAGGATGACCCTCAGCTTCAGCTGTTTTAGCGCAGTATCTATAAGTGGCTAAGCTACAGATGTTTTTGCATGAGGAGGTCGTCTTCAGTCAGGTTTTCTCACCTGTAAATGTACATCCTGTGGTCACTGCCCTGTGGTTTCAGTGGTTTATGAGCTTCTTTCCTAACAAACACTCGTACAGCAGAAACATTATCACCCAGTCACCTTCAGCAGGTGTGCTGGACTGAACCAGAACCTCCTCATCAAACAGTCCAACGTGCTGCTCAATCAGTCGGGTTTCTGTCTCCACCTTAAAGAGGATTTGTGCAAAATAAAACAAACAAAACAGCATCTACACTGAAAAAAAAAAAGATTTTTGAGTGTAGCAACATTTATTTAATTATTCTTTTAAATTTTACTAAAAATATCAAAATCTCTAAACTACTAGAATTTACTAAATAAACAATACACATTATATTATATATCAATATTACTGTACACAAAAAGTAAATGCTAATATTATTTTACCAGTAATATTGAAGTGTTTTTTCTGGACAGCACATAAACATGAATATATTAAGTAACTTCTAC